TGCGGCAGCGGCAGCGGCCACGAGCGAGTACTCTCAGTCGAATAGGAATAGAGAAGCCAACAGATAAGGCAAGGACCAAAGGGTAGAATGGTCCTTTCAATTGCCAGAAATGTGAAAGGGAAATAATGATTAAAAGAGGTCTTAATGGCAGGGTAAACAAGGTGCCAACAAAGTTAGTGACAATTTTGTGAAGCCAAGGACAGCAATGGCAGATGTGTGAAGCCACACGAACCAAGCGATGGTGCTCTGAATGTAAGCTGCTCAGACCAGAGTTGTACAGTTCTAATAACTTTGTATAAACACAGGGCGCCCCTTACAAACAAAAAGAATAGCAAAGAGGCCAAAATGAATCTGACCAATTTCTTGAACAGCTTAACTAACAGACTAGACATCCATGATATCCAGTTCATTTCTTACAGTTCCTTACTTAAACTGCACAGCTAAGAAACTAAACTTTTCTGATTGAACATGATAACTTACTTTTTTTCATAAACCGTCCAAACTGAAAACAAAACACTTGACTCATCATCTCCTTGAAAAGTCAATAGTACCAGTCATGTTAATGGATAGATCACTGCATCTTCATGGTGATAGCAATCTTCCCTTTGCAAGATCTGAAAAGATACAATGCAGAAAACTTTCAGCCATGTACAGTTACACATATTTGAGACATGTACATCAGTACATGGATTTGGAACAATCAGATTGGCCATTGAGGCATAAATAAAGTAAGTAAAAGAACAATAGATCATCAAGTTCCATAAACAGCTAGCCAATTTCATGAATGACATCCAGAGCCAGACCAAGACTAGGCTATCTTGGAGTATATGAGATTGCAACCTTTCAAATTCACATATTCATTTCTGAGAACAGGTACCACAAAAAGTTATAAGTTCATACAACTTAAATTACATATATCACAACGAAAAACATATAATCAGATGCAAAGTTGTGTTGTACACACTAGGGTTAAATACCGGTGAAAGTAATGTGGTGCATATGAGAATGCAGCCTTCTAATTTCATTCATAAATACATTGCTGCTGACTCCTAGGCACAGACACCATGATTCATATTTTTATGCTGGTAAGTAAAATCTTACTTGTTGTCTGTTTGACTAAAATTTTGCAGATCACAAACAACACAAACATCTATATATAATATATAAGGTGTACAGGTTAAAGATGAGCACAAGGCCAGTACCTAGAGTGTAGAAGCTCACATAGGGTGCCATGGCATATTTGGACCCTGTCTTGCCTACCTTCTTCACCTGCTCCGACCTGAGCATGACTGCGAAGACGTCCATATCTATGCTAATGAAAATGGTATATGTGCCCTCTTGGAAGCCAATCACATCGAGTGAGGCCAGCGGGTTAAGAATGGGGAACAGCTTCCTCAGCTTTATGACCCTGCCTTGCACCCATTCCGCAATGCCGTGACGACCAGCCTGCCATGACCAAAGGTGGAGGTTGCCATCCTTCACTCCAGCGAGTCCCAAACCATCGTCCTCCGCGGTCACAACAATGCCCTCCGTTGGCTCAAACATATCCGGCGCATTGATCACATTCACACCTAGGCTCTGTCCAACTAAGTCATACTTGAGAATCATTTTGCCCTGCTGAGCGCTAAAGTATAGCGCGTCTCCGGCAAGGAGGCTGGGCCTTTCCTCGATGTAGACATCAAGTTGAATGGAGGATGACGTAATCCATACGCCGGTCTCCGATGAGTAGACGCTCGCCCACATGTGAGTATCTTCTTCGTAGGCGCCGATGGCGACGACGAGGAATGGGCCCCCGTGGCAGTCAAGATGGTCGCAGCCGTCCGCGGCGCAGAGAACAGCTGCGGAGCGACAGAAGTAATACCCGGAGACGGGCATTGGTAGGTACTGCTGGTCGCCGGTGATGGGATCCCAGACGATGAGGCGCGCGAACGCATGCCGCTCCAAAGTTTGGAGCAGCGCGCGCCCGTGGCGGCACTCGACGATCCACCAATCGAAGCGGTCGAACGCCGGTGCAGAGAAGGGGAAGGTGGTAGTGGTGGCTTCGGCGGCGGCAGCGACGAATCGAGCGCAGGGGCCTTCGTCGTAGGTGTTGTGGAGGAAGCCAAGCAGGGGCGGCGCGCCGTGGAACGCGCGGTAGCGGCGGAGGAAGACGGGGCTAGAGAGGAGCTCGCGCCAGGCCTTGCAGATGAGGGAGGCGCGCACGAGGCACGCTGGGTCTTCCGGTGGGAGGCGGAGGAGGATCTCGGCGGTGGCGTCATCGATTAGATCCGGCGGCGGCGCCATGGCGTGCACGCGGCCCGCCGAGGCTTGGATTTGGTTTTGGTACGGATTGGGGAACGCCGGAAGCCCGGAACGGTGCGACAAAGGAGACGGTGCGAGGAAGGCCCACGTGCCATCAGTTGGCCCATCATCAGTTTGGTCACGGAATCCATTGGCTCGAAAATTGATTGGCTCGAAAAATTCCGACAGGAAAGGGGTTTTTTTTTGATAGGCCGACATGAAAGGTTTTGACTCTTTGATATTCGATCTGTCGCGGTATAGGTTTGATATTTTGACTCAGCTTGATGATAAGGTCTTCTACAGTGTGCTAGTGGTGAAAGAAATAAAAATGATAATGCTGGGGTCTGTCCCATCCATCCGGACGCCTTCTTGCTGGACCTGCAGACGAGCGGCCCAGGCAACCGCAGCGGTCCGTCCCGTGACTCCCATCCGGACATTTCAACAGCCCGACTCACCCTCTCTGGATTGTTCCGCTGCCCCCACACGTCTCTCCCGTTCCCCTCCGCCCCCAGTCTCTGACCCGCGCAACGAACCCGCGATGGCACGCCGCCTCCTCGCCGCCCTCCTCGCGGCATCGCTCCAACTCCCTCTTGCCCGCTCGGACTCCACCTTGTCATCGCCCCACCACTGTGTATGATGAGCTCCGCTCGATGCCGGCTCCTAGGACATCACAGTCGACCTCCGCTTCGGCTACCGCATCGTGCTACCCACGGGGAGCTACCGCCGCCTTCAGCGACCACCTCACGGGTTGCCTCAACGACCGCCGCATCTCGGGCCTCGACGACATCCGCGTCAGGGCGTTCTTCCACTAGTGGTCCTTCACGGGCACTGGCGACCTCCTTTCACTATGTGGCATCAAGCTCCGCGCCGACATCGAGCTCCACAACAACGAGCTCCATTTGTCCAAGCAGCAAGGTGACATTGCGCTAAAAGCCATGTTGTAAGCGTATGTTTCAAGTGTTTCCGTTGTTTTCCGAGGTATGTTGCAAGGGTTTCGTATGGATGTTGTAAAAGTAGATCGGGATGTTACATATGTTGCAATGTTTGTACACTTATGTTGCAAACGTTTGTTCCAAATGTTTTATCTATTTTTCAGACGTATGTTGCAAGTGTGTTTATCTAGATGTTGCAATGGTTTCAAGTGTTTTCATGTGTTTTTTTGCAAGTGTTTTAGGCGCATGTTTCAAACGTTTCATCTATCTTCATACGTATGTTGCAAGTGTTGTATCTAGATGTTTCAAAAGTAGATCGGCTGTTGCATCTCTCTCTTCGCCTTCTGTTGCCTCGCCTCGGTGTCTCCCCCTCTTTCTCAATGCTCATGATGTTCGGGGCGGCGTAGGCCCATGTGGGGGGAGCAGCATGGGTGGGGCGCGAGTCGTTCAAGTGGCGTGAAACCAGAGCAAGCGGGGCATGCGACAGGGGTAGTAGACACTCTACTAGGTGTAGCAGCACAAGTGAAACAAATAAACAATCAGCGCGGATGGAGCGGCAAGGATGCAGGCATGGCCCCAATGTGGAGGCGGGCTACGTGGGTTGGGCGCGAGTCGTTTTGAGTGGCATGGAACCCCAACACTGCGGAGGGCTAATAAATTAAAATCTCCTCCAACAAGCCAGGGGCAGAACATGTGCGTGGCGTGGCTTCTCATCGTTTGGAGTGTCCATAAACAGAGCAGCCCTTCTTGCGAGGCGGTATCCACCCGATTCGCAAGAACCAGCGTCCGAAGTAGGCCTAGGACCGGACGTTCGGGCGCTATCATGTCCGGAAATAAAAATGATCCATCCTAGGGATTGAGCTTCGCTCCTCTCTAAGCTGCAGTGGTAGGCATCACTCTACTAGGTGTAGCAGTACAAGTGAAACAAATAAACAATAAGGCAATGATGGCTTGAGCAAGAGCAAAAGTTAAGGACATGCAGGCAATGATGGCTTGAGCAAGAGCAAAAGTTAAGAATGATGGCTTGAGCAAGAGCGAAAGTTAAGGACATGCATATTTTATCATTTGTTTAGTCAATGGCCAACGGTTCACCGCTCCCAATATTTTTGGTTTGGGCATCGGTAGTTGTAGTGTGTAGAGCGATGTTTAAATTCTCTCTTTCCATTTGGAGCACCACTTCAGGCCAACACTGCGGAGGGCCTAAGTAAGATTAAAATCTCCTCCAACAAGCCAGGGGCAGAACATGTGGCACGTATGTCTCTCAACTCCGGCAGAAACAGGGGCTTCTCATCGTTTGGAGGTGTCCATAAACACCAGTGAACCACCAATTACGCCCTTCTTGTTCCATAAACTGTACTGAAACTGAAAATGTATCCACCCGATTCGCAAGAACCTGACAAGCTGTGCTCTTCCAGGCCACTACAACTCCGGCAAGGGTACCATTAGCCAGAAGCGCAACGAAAACACAGAAAATAAGAAAAGGAACAGAAAATGAGTAAAGGGGAGGAACTGGCCTGTAATCAAGATGACAATGAAATAATAAATGGCAATTTTGCGAAGCCCATCTTCAAAATGGCAAATATGTGAAGTTACATCTTCATAGTGTTAAATATGCAAATTTCTCAAATACCAGGGCTTCGGAACAATGGACAATGACACCCTCGCAAACAAACCAGCCAAGTCTACTCTCAGTTTGGCATTATTAACTAATCTTGGAACCTCAGCGATGTGAATGGAGCACATCAGCAAAAGAATCATAAATCTAGTGCCTGAAACTAGCAAATTTGGTTAAGCAGTGACGATGGCAGGTGAGTGGAAATCGAGCTGACCAGTGGACGTGAGGCACCGATGCCACATCCTGCTGTTGGGGTTCACACGCTTCGATGCCGTGATGACCTCTGTGATGGGAAGGTAGACGTAGTGCGTGTTGCAGATGCAAGAAGTGATGCCGCTGAAACCAGCAAATGCTCCATGGACCTGTGGGCATCTCATACAAATTCCAAGTAAGAAACTATATAGTGCAGGCGCAATCTACTTGTAGAATTGAAAAGGTATTCACTCGAGGTGTGCTAGGACAAGGAGGAACTTACAGCATTTTGTCCAAGCACGGTACACAAAATTGCATCAGATGCATTGGCACGGCATGCACGAACCATGTAAGTTGGGTCAATGTATTTCACGTCAGCTGGAACACCAATGTCCTTGAAATGGGTCTTAATCTGTAAAGTGCAGGCAAACTCATTACATTATTGATGACTTCTGAAAAGAAATATGGTAACAGAAGGAAACTGGGAAATCATTGGTTTAGCAACCGCAAATGGGCAGATAGTAGTAAAGTATGATGTAAACTGTAATCATTATCATTTAAAACTCTACTCGACAGGACTACTAATAAATCATAAAATTCACCCAACGAAAAAACTTAGCAAATAGAAACCTTCTGTTGCATGTGAACACCAATGTCGCTAAATATCACATTTCCTGATGCATCAGTTGCACCTGACTTTTGCAGTAGATCCTGTAACAGAACGAAAAAAAGAAAGGGGGAAAAAGAGTCAAATGTGACTATATACATGGAACAGAAGTAGATAGAGGCCAGTCGGATGTGAATTTCAGCTTACTTGTCCTGCAGCTTCTGCAACACAAACCACACAGAATCCCTTACTCTTTAGCAAATGCTCAAGGTGCCGCAAAACACCAAATTCTCCATCTAGAGTGAACGGGACCTTCATTCATAGTGTAAGCTTCTGTTACTGCATCCATGTGCGAGGAAAACATATGGCAGTTTTAAACATAGTAAAAGTTACATTTATATTACCTCAGGTATTAAGCAGACATCGACCTGCCCACTTGAAAGAGAAGCATGCATTGCAATAAACCCACTGCTTCTTCCCATTAATTTGGCCAAACCAATACCATGGTAAGCACTGCGTGCCTAAAAAGAGTAGGGCATCATAAATAAAACAAAGATGATCTACATCCGACATCTTTCTGTAAACCTTGTATCTCTAAGCAATGTCAACTACAGAACAGCCTGCATAGCAAGTATCATTAGCCTACCTCTATATATGCGGAATTAATGGCTCGTTGGGCTTCTTCCACAGCTGTATCAAAACCAAATGTTTTATCCATCAAAAGTATATCATTATCAATGGTTTTTGGAACTGCTACAACTGAAAGCTTCAGGTTTCTCTTACGGCACTGCAATTGTCAGAAATATAAGACCTTCAATATGACAAATCAAGAAGACAAGATGAACTACGAGTAAAACATGTTTTTTCTGCACATACGTGTGTCTGCACCTACTTGGTTTGCAGTGAGCAAGGCTCAAAAGGATTCCCCAAAAACACTCATGGATAATTCATTTACAAACATTTAACTCCTTAACAGGTCACAAATAGGCAGGAAAATATAATATTAAATGAAAAATGAAAAGAATAACAGAGACATAATAACCACTTCATGGATAGCATTTGCTCCTGCATGGGTACCGTTTCCACCAAGTACGAAAAGCATGTCAATCCTTCTGGCCTACAAATCATATTCATATCATTATAAAAGAGAAATAACTATTATACATTAAAAATCTCAGATTGCTTACCTGTATACTATCAACAATCTCACTAGTTTTAGCTCCACCACGAGAAACACCAAGAAAACTTCCACCATTAAGATTTATATTCTCCACTAGACCACGTGAAAGCTGAGTGATTTGTCAAAATGAAACTTGAGAACACCATGAGCAATAAGTTTCTGCAAATGATGTATAAAGAGAAGCATTCTTACCGGCATTTCTTTGAGGCCCTTTTCAAAAAATCCACGATAACCAAATGGAATTCCAACAATATTCTTAACACCATAGGTCTCTAGGGTGAATACTATCTGCAAGTGCAAACACATTTGTTAAATCATAGGCAAACACCTCTGCTACTAAGAAAGTTGGAGAAGGAGAATATATCTGTTTTCAAAGCATTGAGTAAAGATCATCCACTGAAAAGAAAGCATATACTAACAAAATACAGAACATATCTGCTGATAGCACCATAGCCATTTCAAAATTACTATGCTTGCATTTCTGGTTCAGGATAAGGTGACAAAAGGAAGGAATAAATTAGGAATCGATCTTATGCAGCCATGAATACTGATCCAACTTGATGTTTGCAATTCATATCAGAGATGTGCATGAATTAAATTAAAAATAATTCATATTTTTATGTATATCTAGCTAAATCAATAGCCCTAATGTTAAAATGGCCGTAGCTGATTTAACCTTATTCAAGTTGATGTTCGCATGAATGTCAAGAGTTTTGGATTTGAAATGCAGAAATGTCTGGACATGTCTTAAAGATAAGGACCTGTCTGATGACATCATTCAAACCAGGACATAGACCTCCACAGGTAACTATAGCAGCTTTTACTTCTGCTGGCTCATAGTATATCTCTATTGAGTTGCATGCACCGACCAGTTCAACCCAAAAGCTTAAGCTGATGGGGAGAGGTGGGCAATTCACTTATATTCCAACACTCCCCCTCACGTGGAGACTCCCTCAGGCCTCAGACGTGGAATAGGAGCGAGCAGCAATTATTTCATTTAATTGCGCTAACCAGGATTCGAACTCGAGACCTCTGCCTCTGATACCATATTGAGTTGCATGCACCGACCAATTCAACCCAAAAGCTTAAGTTGATGGGGAGAGGTGGGCAATTCACTTATATTCCAACAATCTCCTTGCGTGGTCCTGCTCGATGCACCCTACAGAAAGCTGCCCATCACTGCTCCACCCTTCTAGCATTTTAATGATTTAATAAATTAAATAAACTACTCACAGGTGCTCTCTTGTCGAAAACAAAAAGGTGAAAGCTGATATGAGATAAGAGTAGCACGGAAGCAGGTGTCAAAGAAAACATACCATTGCTCCACCCAGCTACAGTCAGGATCAATGCACTCTGCTCCAGCAGAAGTAGGCGAGGAATACTTTATCACCTAGAGAAGAATGCAATGTCAAGTTCACAGTATATCCTATAAGAACATAGCTATTTTGTTTCATGAACTGTAGGATCCTGAGATGCTAAATGCAGTGATGATGAGTGTAACAGATGCTTTGAACTGCTTCAGTTGCAAGGGGCTTTTTGGTTTGACATCTGAGAACTTGACTGGTCCAGGCAAGGGATCCCAGACGTTCATTTTCGTGTGCCTGTGACCAAGATTGCTGCCTGCCAGGCAGCATCCAAACAGCCTGTTATAGCTTCCACTGGGCATACCAATATAAAGCTAACATTCAAATTTGCCCATTGCAGATTGCTGATGTTTAGAGCAACATCTCCTCTTTATTAATAGACTGGTGAACTATCCTCACACAGTTTTGAGATGGCTATGAGCTGTGGATTGTTAAACAACGATTAGTCATTTTAAAGTTATTCTCCCCGTGATACATCATTATCCTAAGGGAACACTGACCTTCAAAAGTGCCCGATCATCATTGTTAACATAACCATTCCACATATCCACGTTTTCATCACCTGTAAGAGTTCTGCTAGGGTAATAGCAGATAGTGTTGCATGAGAAAATGTTGTGATGTTCTACATATTTAATAGCTTAGAAGAAGAAAGCTAGTTAATTCAAGCAATGCCAAATAAAGGGGTAAGCGAGGCCTGTTTTTCTTGAGTGAGAATGTAGTTGGCCTTGGTTTCAAATCATATATATCAGCAATACTTGGCAAATTAAACCGTCTTTCCCAGTCTTCCTGAAACTTCTGCTTCCAAGATGGATCATTAAAGTCTAATTCCACTTCCGAGGAAGTAGCTCTAACATGCAGTGGAGCAGGCTTTATTATCTTCTTGCTTTTGCAATATTTGAAATTTGAATGAGAAGAACCATGTAAAAACTGATCCCTTGTTGATTGCAGAAACTGCTGCTGTTGTGTGCTACAAAAACTGCCGCTTGTTTTTAAAGCAGCAGCCATCAATAGATATTTCAATGAGTTCAAAGCGGTGTCCTCTAGTAACCTGCAGAAGAAATTCAGGTAACACTTTGCAGTTAACAGTCTTAAATCAGCGCATGGCAAGAACAAATTTAGAAATTAACTGATAAAACAATTTTGGTCTAACAGGAGAAATTAGAAAGTGATACTGGATCTACATGATTGACAAGGAGCTGTTTCTACACGACCAATCACGGAGGAAAACAAATTTCATGAAACAAGTAAAGCAACATTGGCTGCATTTAGGGTAGAGGGTCGAAATTAAGCTCCGGCCCCTTGTACTTAATATTGACATATAAGAGGAAAGATTCTATGAGCAATGGAAGAGGTGAGAAAACTACAAATAGCAGCTAGATAGGACGCAGCTAGATAGGACGAGGATTCAATATTAAGGCCACTATATTTAATTCCATAGGCAAAATTACCAAGCACTGAATCAGCATTCCATCAGTACCAGCTAAACAAGCCTCCAGCAATAAGTGATCTATGAAGCTCTCTCCTCGTCCAAAACGGATGTACTTACTTCTTAGGTAAACCACCGGTACACACGACACAACATAATCAGAAAGCACCACAAAAATACACATTGTTACAGTGCTTTTCTTTTTTTGAGAGAGATTTGTTAGAATTGTTACAGTGTTAACATTGCATAAAGAAATCAAACCCATTAACTCCACCAAGTTGACTCGTGTAAAAGTTCAACACCAAGTACTGGGCACCAAAAGACCAATGCAGCACCCAGAACAATATACCAAAGTTCAGAGATGTGGATGTCAATCAGCACACTTACTACAGGGACCAATCAGCACAGTGGCCACAGCGGCTAATCAGCACACTGGCCAATTAACAAGACGCTGAACAAATTAATCCGTAAACCCACAAGACTATAAAAGTAGTAGTACTAACTATGCTATTCGGATTCGGCATAGCTCTAAAATATATGATCCGAAACTAGAAACGAGCCCTTATTGTTCCGACTCCTATACCCAGGATTAAGCTCAAACTAGATGTATCCCGATTCAGAAATGATATACAACATACGTGTGTTTTATCACCAAAAAACACATGGATTTTAGTCCGACTCTGTTTATCTCCGTCGTCAGATCTGCGAACAGACTCAAAGAAAAAAACACATGACGCAACAGCACACGTGACGCGACGCAGCAGTGCACCAGCACACGACACGACGCACCAGCACGTGACGCAGCAGCGCATGACGCAGCAGTGCACCAGCACACCACGTGAGGTACAGATTCACCAAAACACACATGACATGACGCGTGACGCAGCAGTACACCTCTCTTTATTTTGTCCTTCCATAAAAAAAAAATTCTGTGATATGTGATTTGTGGATCTATGATCTTGTGATTGTATTAAGGTAGAAGAAGGCTAGAGGTAGAAGAAGGATGGAGGCTGTTGGATCTTAATCTTAGGGTATAAAAAAATTCATGCGTTGAAATTATATAAAACACGTGGTTGTGCATAGCCAGACTCATCCCGATTTCACGAATCGTGGCCGGAGCCAACCCATACAAAACCTACAACCCCGCACCGCAGCCCCTTCTACCCAGGAAGCAGTAGCCTACTGCCGCCAGTAGCATCGCCGCCTGCGAATCTAAATGGAGATCAATGACTATTGACTACTACCAAGCGTCCAAGCGTGAGAGTTGGCGGCGCGACCTTACGGCGGTTGAAACCGGAGCGAATCCGGGGGGAAATGCAGCGGCAGGGGAATCAGTGGAGGGCGGAGGAGACGAGCGCGCACCTACCTTCCAGCTCTTCGGGGTTCGGGCGAATGGCGAGAGCACGAGGGAGAAAAGCAGCTCCTCTCCTTTTTGGCGAGCCTTTTTGCCCCGTTTGGTTTCGATGCTCACTGTGCTCCGCTTCGCGTCAGCTTTGGGGTCGCGGCCGCGGCGGAGAAATTGGAGTCCTGCCTCGCTGTGGGAACATCTGCACTCGAGTCGAGATGCGATGCCGATGCTGATGCCGTTCTGTTGGTTGACCGGCAAAGGCATGGCGGCGGGGTTCGGACGCTGGAGTAAAATGCACCAGCGGTTCCAGGAGATGTCATCTACTCTGCCAATACCAACCACCGTGATGTGTTAATTTCCTATAAAAATTATTAGGTCCGTGGTCGAAGCTTGGACTCAAAAAATGTTAGGCAGCCACTAAACAAGTAGCTCAAAGTTGAGTAACATTCTTTCAGGACGACCACAGCAGCCCACAAATGCTGCGCGACGGTAGACAACCAGCCCAAAGTTGGCATGGGAATTGGAATTTCAAATTGACGATTTCCCAGAGTAAAACCCTCGATTTTCTCGAGTCCTTTACGCTTGTTTGACATCGCGAGCACGTACAGAGACAACACGCTCGGTCAGTAGTCTCCCACTCACGCTCCCTCCAACTCCAAGCGAGATCGACGTCGCAGTCTCGCAGGCGATTGCCTTCCCTGGTTGGTGCGCGATCCAAGCTGCCTGTCGACGTGGTCGTGCACCGGGAAAGAACACAAAAGAAAGATTTGTTGTCCAGCTCACCAGCTCCGAGACGTGGGCCTTTGAATTTAAACAGGGGTCCCACCTGCCGGGCCAGCGGAAAACGCAAGGCTGGAGAGTCCAAGTCCAAGCATGCCGACGCCCGACGGAGACGGACAGCTTGGCAAGCACACGCTTTGGCTTCGAGAGCGCCGGATCACGCCGTGTCGTCTCCTGCAGCTGTTTTTTTTTTGGTTCTTGGATTGGATGACACATGTCACCGGCCTGTTCGGCTAGGGTGAAACGGTCGTAAACGATCGTAAATTTCCAGCCGGAACAATATTTTTTTCTCGCACAAACCAGTCAGCAGTACTTCTTCACGAACAGCAACGAACCAGTCCAGTCATACAAACAGGCTGGTAGCTGTTAGCAACAGTGACTTTCACAAAAAAAAAGTTAGCAACAGTGACAGCGGAGGAGACGTCGTTAGTGGGGTAAATGCTCGCTTGGTGTTGGCACATTTATTCCTTGATGATGCCCCTAGCAAAAGCCAAGGATCTTTACAATTGGCGACTTTTTCGTGTCTCAGTTCTCCTCGCTTCCACGGTGCACGTGTGCGCAGAGCTTCTTCCCTGCTCTCACGGTTGCCACGGAGGCCCTGATGCACACAGCACACCCATGTGAGGAAGACCCAAGTGCCCAAGTTCGTTTTTTCTTATCTTCTTAATAAAAAATTAGTACTATCTCCATCTAGAAAATAAGTACCCATCCCAAAATAAATGCACATCTTATATTATGAGAAGTCAACCAATCTTAAGTTTAACGAAATTTATAGAAAATAGTATTAACATTTGCATTTCTAAATAGGTTTATATTATTATAAAATATATAGAATCTAATAATGTCCATTTTGTATCTCAAAACCTAATATATTTTTGTAGATATTTTGTCAAACTTAGTATTGTTTGACTTTTTAAAATGTGAGATGTGCACTTATTTTGGACAGATGGAGTAATTCCAACTCTATTTGTGACCAAACTTTTCTAAAATTGACCAAGCTTAAGAAAAAAAATCAATATTTATAATATGAAATAGATATATTATTATGAAAATATCTTATGCGAGTCTAATAATACATATTTCCAAAACAAAAACCGGTACTTAGACCAACCATCGCTGCTAAACGGCAACAGAAGACATAAGTGCGGTTTTACTATTGAGAAGTGTGACTCAATTTTTTTTAGAACGAACTATGCACATGAGGATAGCAGGACGGCTGGATTCTCTGGCCCTTTGAGGCCCTGACTGCCGATGGACGATGCCATGATCCAAGTATCCAACAAACTCTAGCTGTTGAGTACTACTCCTATTTTTCTCAGGCACATGTGTAGGGTTTCACGAATCATAGTAGTATATACAAAGTGTCACAATAATAAGCCGCGGAGCTATAGTCAGCATGATGGGTGCAGCTACACCCATATAAAGTTAGAAAGACAATAAAAACAACTATATTTGCACCCTCAGATCAAAGATCCTTACCCCCATAAGGCAAGATACACCTCCCTCAAATTTGTTTTAGCTCCACCCCTGGTTAGACGAGCCTAAATCGAATGATGGTGATGTGCAATGTGCTACTTTTTATTTTCTTTCAACATATCTTGTGTGTTGAGACAGGGAAGGGGGCTGATGTTGCGAGATCGAAACGGTGTTGTGACATGGTTCGCAAAAAACAAAGGGCGGAGGCGGACACATGTGCTCCGATCCAATGGTTAAAAATGGACACGGTGGAATCGGTGGCAAACCAAATTGCAAACTGACATCGAGACATTGTCAAGCCTCAAGCCAAATGGCAGAATTGTTTGCCAGCACAAAGAAGCACGGGTCCCAGGTGGAAATATACGCGACGCGGCGGCGGCGGCGATGCGACCTCGAAGCTAACGGCTACTTTTCCAGCGCAGCGGCTTCGCGGCGAGGGCCCGTCCTGGACTACCTGTGTACTTCCATATAAAACTCGCATAATTGCGAGGTCAAGAATTACAGCTCCACATTCTGATCGACCCTTTCCCACTTTACCCCCGCCCTTCACCGTCGGAATCCACCCCCACGCGCGCCGCGGGAGATGGCCACGGCCGCGAGTCCGCCTACGGCTCCGCCGTTGGCTGCGGCGGGAGATGTCTCCGAGGTGGAGCTCTCGGAGGCGGGATCGCCGGACCTCGGCAGCCGGAGCAGCGGGAGCGGGAGCGGGGGCAGCGGCCGGAGCGCGGCGGAGTACTCCGGGTGGGTGTACCACCTCGGCGTAAACTCCATCGGCCACGAGTACTGCCACCTCCGCTTCCTCGTCATCCGCGGCAAGTCCGTCGCCATGTACAAGCGGGACCCGCACGACCATCCGGGACTGGTCGGTTCCCCCGTTCCACTCCTCTCCTCCCTCCTTGCCTCTGTTTTGGTTCTGCTGCTTGTGATGGCTGCGCCGCTTCTCGTGGATCACGCGTTGAAGCTTGACAGAGTTGTGCGGGTTGGGTGCCTAACTCAAAGTTGTGGGGTTTGGTACGTTCGGTTGGTGGCTAGCTGAAAGCCTGAAACCGCATCCTTGCGGGATGCTGGACTCACTGGTTGTTGCCGCAGGGTTTGCAAATGCGTCTTTGTTTAGCTGATTTTGAAACCTGTTGAATGTTAGATGAAACTGGCGAGTAATGCCTGCTCGAATTCCTTACACTTGCAGCTCGTGATTTGGCAACTTTTGGTTTGATTTGATTCAGTAGTAGAACTGCAGGATTCTGCAGAGAAATTTGTCATCATCTATTTTGCTGGCAGACTATCTGCTAGGGAAAACACAAATTTGCATTTGCGTAGGAGACATTGATTTGTGGAATTGATTATTGTACTGTTGAGTCTCGAAGTACATTGCATAGAGGGCAAGTAGCCTCCCTTAGAGATAAAGGCAAACCAAGATTACAAACGATCCTAATCTCTACATTGATCGAAGATATCCCAATATACTCTAACGTCCCCAGCAGTCACAGTGTGAGCAGCACAGACGGTGAGTGGTATGAGAATGGAGAAGCTGAAGGTTGTAAGCCGATGAGCTGACAATTTGGGGGCGTATTTCTGGGTTGTAGTTCTTGCTTTGATCATGTTACCCCATTCTAGACAAGGTGGCCCATCATGAGTGCATCTCATGAATTTTAGTGGAATGACTCCATCCCTCATGCTTATATTGATTATTAGCGTATGAGTAAGGATGCAAGTGGGTACCTAATGGTGTTCATTTGAGCAAGTTTCTGGGTCGACCCAATGACCCAAAGTAATTATAACTTGCATCCCTACATATGAGGGATGAGGTGGTGGCGGATCAATCCATTCCATTCCACAAACCAAACAAAAAAGTAAGGAATGAGAAGATGATGGACCACCCTGTTCCTCAAACCAAACAAACCCCAGATTGGATCAGCACCTGTCTGTTGGATCTATTTGTTCAGGCTTTCTATTTGCTCAACTATTGAACTGCCACTTTGTGTTGTTAATTTGGTATGGATTTGCACCCTAAGTAACTGGAGACAAACAAGAAATCTTGGAATGAAAATTGGAAAGTTGTTGGGCACTGGAAGTTGCAGTCAATAGATTTGGTTCGCTCATGCAAGTGCATTCTGAGTGGAATTTGCATTCAGGGGTTGTTTCAGTTTATCTGTATTCATGCTGGTATAGTGGTATTCTGCTCATTTTCACATTTTTCTGTTGGAAATTCTTATGGAAGCTAATTTATTCATAAACATTTTGTTTCAGAAACCTATCCGAAAAGGTGCTGTTAGTCACACTCTGATGGTGGAGGAGCTTGGTCGGCGGAGGGTCAATCATGGGGTAGTGCTCCGAGTCCGACCTTTGTTTAGTCCTTAGATTCATAATGAATTGACAAGTATATGTATATGTTCTTATTTCATTGCTACATGAATTATTGGAACCATTACATTGTTTCATTGATTTCCATTTGACAAATATACAGCTTTTTGGTGCTATTTGGTTTGTTCAGATGTCTCATTTTTTTATCATAACAAATAACTGATTTATGTTCTTAAACGTAGGATGTTTATGTTCTGAGGTTGTACAATCGGTTGAATCAAACAAAGAAAGGAGAGGTACTCAGCTTATGGTGTACATGCAAATCTGTAAACAGCATTCGTCCATGAGTCCATGGCAACTAAAATGCTAGTGATTTTGTGTTTTTGATAGATAGCATGTGCTGCTCCTGGTGAAGCCCGGAAATGGATTGAAGCATTTGAACAAGCCAAACAACAGGTTGGTATTTAATAGCAAATACCATCAAAAAGTTAACTGCTATTATTTAGGTAAACGTTTCACATACAGCCATTTTGGCTGTGTGTACAACTCAAGTACAAAAATGTATCTGAATCATGCCATGTATTTACGAGCTTCCCATCTAGGTGATTTTAACCGTTAGATCTTGAGATTCAAATGGCTGTACGTGTAGCAGTAATCTATTAATTAGGTGTACTGTCTTTATGGATGCATCCTCTATAACCTTGTGCAATTCTGGGTCGACTTTCACGTAATACTACTGCTCAATTCACTTCAGCAGAAAGACTATTTTTATTGTTTGGTGTACAGCTCCTGTTGATGTTGTGTTATGGTAGTGGGACCAAGCCTGGTGTGTGTGTGAACAGTGCCATGATTGGATTAGACTAGATGGTGTTGTCGAGTTTGATAGGAAAGGGATAAGATTATATTAAGTCGGTTAGGATCTTTGCTTAGGGGATAAGTAGATCATTTGTTTATATAAGAGAGTCATGTATCCCTTAGAAACAAGCAAGAAGAACCCTAAAAGCAGTCAGAGCCTCCGCATGGAGGGTGACTAGCTGGTTGTTTCACTTCTTTCTGCTATCCTTAGCTTTACCTTATCATTTGGTATCCAGGGCCTTTGATCCTGCAACCTTTCCTATCACTGATTTTTTCCTCCTACACCCAGATTAGATCGATTCCACCCCTGTTCTAAGTTCTAACACAAACCCACCCAAATAGTGGTGGAGGCAGGAATGATTTTTAGCTGTGGCGAAGTTTATAAAGATCAATCATATATAAAGATAACTATGTAAGGGCAAACTTAAACATTATATAAATAAATATTACTTTGTGATTAGCAAATATAATAGAAATCCAAAAGTATAGGATTTGCCACTTAAATTACCTCCGTGTAATAAGTATCAATGTATATCCTTAGGTAAATTAATTAACATAAAAATATAATCAATTACAACTCTAACTTCTATAATACCTTTCATTATGTATTATGTATTTGCTCTTCTTTTTTGAACCTATGGTGTCATCGTTGTATAATTGTACTCGGACTAGCGGCTTCCATCCACAGGCCAGCGTCCGACTCGCCGGTCGCTGCCTTTTGCATGTGGTACGGCCGTCGCATGACGCTAGGCTTTTGTCATTCTATACTTCTAATTGGATTCGAGAATATGAACGGGCGGAGAAGCCGATTGATCATGGAAAAGAAAACGAGACGCGTCATGCGGGCTGCCACACGTATTAGCTTCTTGTGTTGGATTTGCTACCATACCCACACCAGACCCAACAAGCCAGCCCATATAACGTATTGACGTATATATACAGTATATATACTTGATCTTTTCTACTGTTTTTTTAGGTATGGCGGCTGCCAAACCTTGCCATATAGCTGCCTCCGCCCTGGCACCCAATCCTCACTTCAGATCGTTCCATCTTCCATGTCAGCCACTACTAGAGTCCCCAAACTTCGCATTCCAGCATTTGATGGCGCCATTGATTCTTTGCAGTGGCTACACCGATCCAACCAGTGCTTTGATGCAAGATGAGAAGATATGGCTCGCAACCTTTACGATGACAAGCCTTGCACTACGATGGTAGTATGGTATTGCAAGATAGAGCAGACCATGGGTGTACCTAGGGCCGGCCCTTAGGGCGGGCGAGTGCGGGCGGTTGGTCTTTGGCGATGTGACCGCAGAGGGTCCAGTATGCGGCCACCATATGATGGTGAGTCAGTTGGTTTGGAAAGGCAATCAGGCGGGAGGGATTTTAGGATCTGAGTCTTGGTTTGTTAGGGAAGGTTTGTTAGGGAAGCACCTGAACTATAAAGGTCGCTTAGGAATAATGTAATTGGCATCGAAGAAGAATAGAACTCTACCGTGCAGGTGGGGTTCCTCTTGACCATGGTCCACCATCTTGCTGGGCCACATGCGGCATCCCCATCGCACCTTTGCCTCGCTATCCCTCCGTTCCAATTCCCACCCAGCCTCCTCTCAATCTCCTCTGCGACTCCACACGGTGCCTGGGCCCCCCATCCCATGGGGCCCCATCCCAATACCGTATTTAAGGCTCAAGAATGAGCCAACGAATAGTCTCAAGGCCGTTGCTGCTAGCAGCAGTACACCGCTCTGCAACAACTCTAGATCATCATGCGAGCTACTTTGCGAACTCGATCTGGTGGGCCCTGAGCAACCATGCTAACTAGCTTTCTTCATCTTCTCCTATTAAACAAGACATGAAAGCCAGAGCAATTTGCTAGTTTCCTTCACTATCTTCTTGCCTTTTCAAAGCGCACATGATTATGCATGCACACGTACAGTAAAACTTACATGCTTCCTTTATTTTAAAAAAATATTTTGTACAAAATCTCGTCAAATAGAGAGAAGAAAAAAGTGAGCATGAGTAGATGAATTAATACAATCACGGAGAGATCTATACGTAAGTTTTTTTATAAGAGTAATTCAAGCGTAGAGATCCAAACAAGATGGTGATGGTTGATTGGTTGTTGTCGAGGAACTAGAGTATCTATCATAATTAATGACTTCGCATCGAGAACATCAGAATAAAATTTTAAGGTATTTTATTATATATGAATTGTTTTTTTTTTCTGAATATCGCTTTTGTATATGTAACTAAGCGTTTATCATTAACAATTTATACGTATAAGTGCTTAGTTCATGTGTATATAAGGGGCCCCTAAATTTTGGTTTCACCCTGGGCCTCTAAAAACACAGGGTCGGACCTGGGTGTACCAATGAGGCTGGTGGTTGGTCTTTGTCGATGTGGTCAGCTGCCGGTTTGCGGCACCCATGGCAACCACTTCCTCGACAACCCCTGCTGGTACACTACTAGCGGCATCAGGACCTTCATCATCTGCACCAACGGCATCTCCACCATCATCCACGCCGGCATCAGTTCCAGTGAGACCGCAAACTCCAGGTGTTCCTCCCATCTGCAATTGAGACACCACCAGCTCCTCCAATCTAGACATCCTCATATGTGGCATCACCTGCCTTCGTCCCCCACCAGCAAAGGCCCAGGCTGCCATACCAGGTTTATAGAAACACACAACAACTCCATCTCCACCGACAATTGTGGCTACACCTTCCAACGCCATCTACCATCATCCCTTGGTATCGCCGGTGTAGCCGCAATTGTCGATGGAGATGCAGGCATGATGGTGAGGCTGCCACCGCCATGCGCCACCAACATCAGCCGCCACAACATCGACATTATTAGTGCCACCATTGCTGGTGTGGTCACCAATCACGGTCACACTCTCACGCACCCATGGCGGAGACACACTACTGCGCCCGCTAGAATCAGAATCGCCGTAACTTCCTCACTCGAGCGCCAGGCCCCCACAGTTGTCTTTCTCGGGTCTTATTGGCTATCATCTTTGTCGTATTAGTGAGAAGAATAGGTCTCGGAATTGTGATAGATTGATATGGGTGCAGAGTACATTATATAGACAAGGATCGTCGGGTTTATAGAAACACTCAATCAACGGTGATCCTTACCTAATCAATAAACATCTACCATAATCCCTTGGTTCCCGTTGATGTTATATCGCCAGTGGTCATGGCCAAATAGGCGCCTATTCTAATATGCCCCATGATCGAATCGATCGTCACCACTGCACGTTTAGACTGGACCTGAACTCCGTGAACACTGAAGAAGGCAGCCATTTGGTGAAGATATCCGCATATTGTGATGAAGTGGGAACATGCAGAACACGAAGATCACCAATGGCGACTCGCTCTCGGACGAAGTGAAGATCAATCTCAATGTGCTTGGTTCGCTGATGCTGTATCGGGTTGGAGGTCATGTAGACGGCACTGATGTTGTCGCAATACACCAGTGTGGCGCGCCGGAGAGGGGCATGCAGCTCTAGAATAAGCTGGCGCAGCCAGGTGGCCTCAGCAACTCCATTGGCCACCGTGCGATACTCGGCTTCAGCACTGGATCTTGACACCGTGTTCTGGCGCTTGGAGGACTAGGAGACAAGATTGTCACCAAGAAACATAGCATAGCCCGAGGTGAACTTGCGGGTGTCTGGACAACCAGCCCAATCAGCGTCGGTGTAGACGACAAGATCAGCCGAAGTAGACGGTCGCAGCAGGAGACCAAGGTGGAGAGTGCCTCGAACATAGCGCAGAATCCGCTTCAGAGCTGCAAGGTGAGGCTCATGAGGGTCGTGCATATGAAGACAGACTTGCTGCACAACATATGCAATATCCGGCCGGGTGAACGTTAGGTACTGTAAGGCTCCAGCGAGGCTGCGAAAGTCTGAAAGGTCAGAGATAGGGGTGCCATCTGCTGCAGCAATCTTTGGATTGGTGTCAACTGGAGTGGAACACGGCTTACACTCTGCCATCCCGGCGCGATCAAGAATGTCCAACATATATTGTCGTTGAGAAAGAAGAAGACCATCACCACTGCGCTGAACATGCATACCGAGGAAGTAATGCAGTTCACCAAGGTCCTTCATAGCAAACTCCCGCTGAAGGGCTGAGATGATCCGTCGAAGAAGGCCGGTTGAGGAGGCTGTGAGGACGATGTCATCAACATAGAGCAACAGGTAGGCTGTGTTTGATCCGCGCTGGTAAACAAAGAGCGAGGTGTCTGACTTGGCTTCAGCAAACCCAAGGGATAGCAAGTGCGTGGCCATGCGACTGTACCAAGCACGAGGGGGGCTTGCTTGAGGCCATATAGTGACTTCTTCAGGTGACAAACATAGTCCGGATGAGCTGGATCTTCGAACCCAGACGACTGCTGACAATAAATTGTCTCTGTCAGGTTGCCATGAAGAAAGGCGTTCTTCACATCAAGCTGGTGGATGGGCCAGCGGCGAGAGAGAGCCAGGGAGAGCACCGTGCGAACAGTAGCAGGCTTCACCACGGGATTGAATGTCTCATCAAAGTCCACACCAGGCCGCTGGGTAAAGCCGCGGAGAACCCAAATAGCGCCTTTGTGCCTTTCAAGGGAGCCATCGATCGAAACTTGTGCTTGAAGATCCACTTGCCGGTGATTTACGCTAGCCCGAGGGGGGGGCGAGGCACGAGATCCCAAGTGTGATTCTTCAGCAGGGCACTGTGTTCCTCTTCCATTGCAGCTCGCCAGATGGGGTCGGCAAGAGCGCTACAAAGGTCTTCGGTATCGGTGACATAGACGTAGCGTGGTGCGCATAGCAGCATCCAAAACCGCTCTTGCCCATGGCGTCTTTGGTTGGTCACAGAGGGACAACAACAATGCCCCTTTGGGCGATGGGGCGCGCATTGTGGTGCGAGCACATCTTGGGCGGCCGGTGCATGCGGGCGGGCGGCGGTGATGAGAGGCAGTTTGGAGCAGGCTGTGGTCGAGGCCAGCGTGTGTAGTGGTAGGCGAAGGCGCGATTTGGACGAAGAGGCGGGAACCTGGGCGGGGGCCCGCGGGGTGCCTGAGGAGGTGACACCGGCGCTGTGGAGCCCGCGGTCGGTGCTGGAGACTGCGAGCTCGCGCGAAGGGTTGGCGGGATGTACAGCTGGCGAGGTGGAGCGCCTCCAGTCGTGCTGGGAGTGTCTTGAGCCGCGCGTGGCGCAGGGGGGGTCCCTGGCGTCCGCAGCGTAGGCAGGATGTAGAGCGCGGGCGCCGGGGGATCAGTAGTGTCCATTGGGGATCGATGAGCGCCCACCGGGCGTCTTGGGGCACCCCTGCACAGCCTCGATCTCGAGGGGACCGGAAGGGGCACTGGTGACGTCAGAGGTGCTAGATGGTGCTCCTGCAGAAAAAAACTTGTGCAACGGTCCAATAGGAGCGGGCACAACATCAGTAGCATCAAGAAACTCAGTCCGCCGGAATACTAGGACCATTGCACTCAGCAAAGGGGAAGGCCGTTTCATCGAAGATGACGTGCCGGGAGATGATGACTCTATTGGTGGAGAGGTCAAGGCAGCGGTATCCTTTGTGGTGAGCGGAATAGCCTAGGAAGACGCACAAGGCAGGCCTAGGAGCGAGTTTATGAGGAGCGGTGGCGGATAGGTTTGGATAACACTTGCAACCAAAGACAAGTAGGTGATCATACGCCGGCGGCGTGCCGTACAGGGTAAGGTGGGGCGTGGAGAACTGTAGAGTTTTGGTGGGCAGTATGTTAAGCAGAAGGGTCGTTGTGGAGAGGGCCTCCGCCTAGTAGGAGGGAGGCATAGACGCCTGAAAGAGCAGTGAGCGAACGACATTATTGATGGAGCAAATAATGCGTTCGGCTTTACCATTTTGAGGCGAGGTGTAGGGGCAGGACATACGAAGATGGATGCCCTGGGTGAGGAAGAAGTGACGGGTGCTAGAGTTGTCAAACTCTTTCCCGTTGTCGCACTGGACAGCCTTGACGTGGGTGCCAAATTGGGTGGAGGCGTGGGCGATGAAGTGGGCAAGCGTACTGTAAGTGTCAGATTTGAGGCGCAAAGGAAAAGTCCACAAGTAGTGAGTGCAATCATCAAGCATGACCAAATAGTATTTGTAACCAGAAACACTGACAACTGGAGATGTCCACAAGTCACAATGAATAAGATCAAACTTGCTAGACGCACGAGAGGTGGATGAATGAAAGGGCAGACGAACATGACGCCCTAACTGACAAGCGTGACATAGATCTAAACAGTCTTGAATGTGACAGGAAACAGTAGTAGCAAGCTTCGACAACGCCTCATGACCGGGGTGACCGAGACGCCGACGCCACAGTGGGGAGGGAGCCTGAGCGACAAAGGGGTGTGCTGGAGGTAGGCGCAGTTGATATAGCGGCCCGGAGCTATTGCACCTGACGATCTCGGTCCGAGATGGAAGAACCTTCACAAAACAACCAGTGGGGTCAAACTCAACAGAATAGTTGTTGTCGATAGTGAATTGGTGCACAGAGATGAGATTCTTAATAAGTTGTGGTGACACAAGAACATTATTAAGACGTAAAGTAGGGAACAACTCTGTGGAGCCAGTGGTAGTAACAGGAAGCATGGAACCATTACCGACAACAATAGATGAAGCAGTAGGATACCGCGGGAATAGAACATGTGAAAGGGAGGAAGACTGAGATGTCATATGTGAAGTAGCACCTGTGTCGAAGTACCACTCGTTGGACGAAGGAGGGGTCAGCGACATCGTCTTTGGGAGGAGGAGGCGAGGGTCGTCTGGTCCCAAGAAGGGAGGCCGGCCACAGGATTGTAGTACCCGGCGACCCACCGCTGAAAAGCCATCGAGGCGCGACGGAAGTAGGCTTTGGTGGGCGACGAGTGCTCGCTTCTTGTGCTCGCAGATGAGGAGGCACCGGATGGGTGCCAGCGGAGGACGAGGACCCCGCCACATCTCGAATGGAACCCATCCATGGGTTGTAGACGCCGCTGGGCGGCGACCACCGTGGCGGCTGTCATTGGGCGTCGGCCGTCTCTTCTTCTTCTTCTTCTTTGGGTTCCGAGAGGAGGGCGGTGGCCTCCAAAGGTTGTTGTTGCCACCGAGGTCCCCCCTTTCCACCGCCGCCACTGCCTTTGCAGCGATTGCCGTTGAGAGGACTTAGGGACGCCAACGCCCGGAGCCCGTGTTGGGCGTGGGTGAGGCAAAGATCGAGGAGCTTCTTTGCTGCGGTGGAGGCAACGAGAGCAGTGGCAGGGGACTCCTTGTTCTCCAATGTGAGTTCCTCGAGGATGAGGTCATCATGAGCCTCCAGGAAGGTGGGAAAGGGCCGGCTGCGGTGTAGGAGGGCCCCGACGTGACTGAAGCGCTCATTGAGGCCACGGATCACGTTAAGGACGAGGGTGCGGTTGGTGATCACTTCGCCAAGAGCCGTGAGGTCGTCAGCCATCTTCTTTAGCCGGTGGCAGTAGTCGGTGGCGGAGAGGTCGCCCTGGACGAAGTTGCGAAACCACGTCTCAAGGTGGATGGAGCGAGCCTCCCGGTTGCCGAGGAACTGGGACTCGACGGCAAGCCAGGCATGCCGAGACAGTGGAGCCCTGGGCGGAGATGATCTCGGCAAGGTCGTCGGTGAGCGTAGCGACGATCCAGGACTTGACGACGCAGTCCATCCGAGCCCAGTCAAGGGAGATCGGGGCCGGAGGTTCCTCGTGGATGTGGTCCTGAAGAGAGAACTTGCCGAGGATGAGCAGGAACTGATCGCGCCAGCGGTTGAAGTTGCCGGAGTCGACGTCGAGGATGGTGGTGATGTGGTTCCGGATGTTGTTGACGGCGACGGCTGGGGCGTCAGATTGCAGGCGATGCCATGGCCTCATGGAGGAGCATGGCTGAGGCGAGGTCGGGAGGACACGTTGAAGATGTCTTTGGAGGAGGCGCCGCCAGTGCACCGGGGCGGCGGCGGCCGGCGGCGGCCATGGCTCCTTATGCCTGCGCCACGCTAGGGCTTCTTACTGGCGGCGCGCAGCAACCTGCGATCGCGATCTTTGGCGGCGGCGGCCTCCTCCTCCTCGGCTTTGGCAGCGTGAGCTGAGGCGGCCCGGCACTCCTTGTCGAGAAGTTGGGCGGCGGCGGCGGCGCGCGGCGCCTTCTCCTTGGCTGGGCGTGCACGCGATCTCATCACGTAACATCCCCCCGCACTGGAGAGGACGGGGAGTGGGAGACATGGCATGGCACGGCAGAGGCCGCACAGCAGTGGGTGTGCAAATGAAGGAAAACCTAAACCTAGGCGGCTGATACCATGAGAGCGAATAGGTCTCGGGAAATTGTGATAGATTGATATGGGTACAGGGAGTACATTATATAGGCAAGGATCAGGAAGGGTTTATAGAAACACCAAATCAACGGTGATCCTTGCCTAATCAATAAACATCTACCATAATCCCTAGAGGCAGCCCAGTCGATAGGCTTGGGTGCAGGCCCATGGCCAGCCCATAGGCGCCTATTCTAACAGTTAGTTTGAACTAGATGGTGTTATCCGGTTTTAGGGAAAGGAATAAGATTAGATTAAGTCCATTAGGATATTTGCTTAGGGGATAAGTAGCTCATCTCTATAAAAGAAAATCATGTATTGATTAGAGGAAAGACAAGCAAAAAGGACCCTAAAAGCAATCAGAGCCTCTGCAGGGAAGGGCAAGTAGCCGGTTCTTTGTGCTACCCTTAGCTTTACGGCAGAAACTATACAGCAATATTTAACATGCATTCAGCTCATTAAGTTTGCAGCTGCTTGTGTTCTGCTATATTTGATTCATTCATGTCTGTTTGACTTAACACATTACACATCTTTCTTCTTGATGTTTTCTTACAGGCAGACTATGATCTGATGAGAGGGGTTAGCTGGAACAGATTGCAGAATGAAAATGAGTATGTAATCAATTGTCCTTTTCTGATTTATGAATAGTTCTCTTTAGTGAAACACTGAAACCTAAAAAACTGTTCTACACTTCTACTACTGTAGGATTAATCTTGATGGTCATCGTCCTCGGGTTAGGAGATATGCACAAGGCTTGGGGAAACTTGTAAGAATTGGTAAAGGTAAGAATTAAAGCTGCAGCATTAACTTTACTAGAAAAGTCCAATCAGTGAGTGGTGAAATTTTCATCCCCTCCCACCACCTCCTTTCACCTCCCTAAAACACCTCTAACATAAAAAAGAAAAAAAGGGGCGTACCTAGTGCAGAGAGCTCCCGCTCTGTGCGGGGTCTGGGGAAGGGTGTCAGTGGCAAGCCTTACCCTCGCTTTAACATAAAAAAGAAAAAGAAAAAGAAATGATAAACAGATTAAATGATTATCTTCCAGCTATTGTTTTATGCCATCAACCTCCTCTGTCTCAAAATCCTTCTTTTGTGTGTGGCTTGATTGTCCTCACATCCTCAATTTTTTTCCTGTTCTCATCACCAAACAAAGTTTTAGCGAACTCTGCTGCTATATCCATACCCTTCCTTGCTGTCTAGTGTAACAGTTTCTCCTAGTCGAGTGGATAATGTGTGTCCAGGAGAGCACAATGTGAGGATGATGACGCAGGCCAAAATGTGCCAAGGAGGTTGGGCATGGTGAGATAGGGAACTCGTCTGGGTATAGAGGAGATTGGGAGCTCCGCTGGGTTTAGAGGAAGAGCTAAGGAACAATGTTTGATCAATGAGTGACAAGGTAGGCCAAACATTGCAAAGGAGGTTGAAGGTTCCATTCAGGCATGTGGGTGGCAAAGGAGATTATTCAGCTAATCTTTGTCAGCTATTTTCTTGTAGAATAATCTTACACTTGAGTAAACCCTATTGTGAAATGTTTACCAATTATAATCAGGACAGTCAACCATACATGTTTTTCTGTTAAAATTACCCATGACAGGGCTTACATTTGTTAATTCTTTCCCTTACCTACATCGAATTTGTTACATTTACTTTGCAGGGCCAGAAATGCTCCTTCGTCAGTCTTCAGATCTTCGAGACCAGGAAAGGGTTAATACGAACTTTGGAGGTGATTCTGGAGATGCATTTGAAGCACATGAATGGAGATATGTTCGAACATTTAACGGTATATTTAATTCTTTATACTATTCATGCTGGACCTTTGAAGCAAGTTATTTTAGCTGCCTTATTTGCTCTATTATTAATCCATTCGCAGTATCGTGCTTTTGGATGGTTACCCAACTATATTTTTATATGGTTGAACTAAATAACTGATCTTCCTATCTCATTTCCTGAAAGAATGCTGTGGTTGTGAATGTACGTGTAGAGAGACAGAGAGATAAGGAAAACACCTCACACCAATTAGGGGGGTGACCTTTCATATATATAGCCCAATAGGCTGGGGGTACAACATGTCCAAATACAACGTATACAGGACTAGACTATATATGTCTAATACCCGCCCGCAGTCGCAGCGGGAGGATCCCGGACGCAAAGACTGGACCTAAAGTCAGTGAACAACTATACAGGTAAGCCCTTGGTCATGATGTCCGCGAACTGATGTGTCGACGGGACATGGAGCACCTGAACCTGTCCCAAAGCAACCTTGTTGCGGACGAAGTGAATGTCGATCTCGATGTGCTTCGTGCGACGATGGTGGACATGATTAGCGGTCATATAGACAACGCTAACATTGTCACAGTACACGACGGTCCCAGAGGTAATGGGCGCGTGGAGCTCCTGGAGAAGCTGACGAAGCCAACACCACTCGCCCACGGCATGGGCAACCGCGCGGTACTCAGCCTCAGCACTGGAGCGGGAGACAGTTGTCTGGCGCTTGGAGGACCAAGAGACCAGGTTGTCGCCGAGGAAAACGTAGTAGCCAGACGTAGAGCGCCTGGAGTTCGGACAGCCTGCCCAGTCCACGTCGGAGTATGCGGTGAGGGAGTCAACCGGTCCGGAGCTGAGGTGGAGACCGGTGGACAGAGTACCCTTCACGTAGCGTAGGATGCGCTTGATCAACGCGAGATGGGGCTCGCGGGGATCGTGCATGAAAAGGCACACCTGCTGGACCGCATAGGCAAGCTCGAGACGGGTGAGCGTCAGGTACTGTAGGGCACCGGCGAGACTCCGGTACTGTGACGGATCAACGACCGGAGCGCCGTCGGTGGCTGAGAGCTTGGCACGAGTGTCAACCGTGTGGCTGTAGGATGACACTCGGCCATGCTCACCCGCTGTAGGAAATCCACAGCGTACTGGCACTGGGAGAGGAACAGTCCCTCCGACGAGCGCGTGACAGAGGCCGAGGAAGTGGTGCAGGTCGCCGAGATCCGTCATGGCGAACTCGGAGTGAAGGCGCGCCAGGATGCGCGGCAAGAGCGTAGTCGAGGACGCCATAAGGATGATGTTGTCGACGTACAGGAGCAGGTAAGCTAGTAGCGTCCCCCTCTTGGAGTACAAAGAGGGACGTGTCGGAGACGGAGGCGACGAAGCCGAGCTGCCGGAGGTAGGCGGCGAAACACTGGTACCAGGCCCGAGGAGCCTGTTTTAGACCATAGAGAGAGCGCTACAAAGCAAACATCATCAGGGCGAGCGGGGTCGATGAAGCCTAGAGGCTGCTGGTAGTACACGGTCTCCTCTAGATGACCATGAAGAAAAGCATTCTTCACGTTTAGCTGGTGAATCGGCTAGGAGCGCGAAGTAGCAAGGCTGAGGACGACTCGAATCGTGGCCGGCTTGACGACGGGCTGAATGTCTTGTCGTAGTCGATGCCGTGGCGTTGAGAGAACCCGCGAACCACCCATCGCGCCTTGTGGCGGGCAAGGGAACCGTCCGAGTGGAATTTGTGTTTGAAAATCCACTTGCCCGTCACAATGTTGGTGCCGGGGGGATGAGAGACGAGGCGCCATGTCCGGTTGTCAATGAGCACCTTGTACTCATCGGCCATGGCAGCACACCACTGAAGGTCGGCCAAGGCACTCCGGTAATTCGCTGGTACCGGCGAGACGACGGAGTGGGTGGCGGAGAATGATGGGATAAGTCTCATGTGCTGGTCTTTGTGGGGCTGTGCTGGTCACATGATCTTTGTGGCTGCATGGTATGTTTTTAGGACAACATCTTAGCATCTAGGATAGCATCTTAGAGGACAACTTCTTAGCATCGAGGACAGCATCTTAGAGGACAACATCTTACATCTAGGACAACATCTTAGACTAGCATCTTGGCATATGCTTGGCTGGCTAGCAGCCTATAAATATGTATCCCCAACCCCTCAGGTTGGTATAGCATTGTGTGAGAAATAAACCAGAAAATTGCCCCAACTCCTAGTGTCATCCTCTCTCGATGAGAGTAAGAATTCTGCTATTACCAAGAGTAAGAATTCAGCGACTAACAAGTGGTATCAGAGCCGTACTATCCTGTAGCCCGAGCATCTCCTGCTCATCTCCTTTCCCACCACAAGAACATTCCCACCGGGAGCAAGAAGAGCTCCGCCGCTCCTGCTCACTCCTCTCCTTCTGCGCAGACGAGCAGCTCGTCTGAAGCAGCCCTCTCCCCACGCAACAGCCCCCCGGTAGCGCGTCATGTCCACAGGCGCCTCATCTCGGCGTTCGTCGCCTCGAGCCTGGGCGTCGGCGAGAGGCCGAACTTGCCGCGCAGAGAAACGCGAAGCGGCGGCGAGACCCGCTGCAGCCGCGGCAGGGCGCCGAGGTCGGCAATGGCGGAGCTGGCAAAGCAGCAGCGAGCGGAGGCGGAAGCAAGCCAGCGGCGGCGGATGCATGCGTCAGCGGCAACAAGCAGCAGAGGTCGAGGCTCTCACAGTAGCATCAGCAGCTCCGTTCTGGCGGCAGCAGCGCCACGGGACCTCGAGCTACTCGGGGAGGGAGGTAGGACGCGCGCAGCGGCGCGCGGCGCGATGGGCGGCCGCGCATGCCACGGCCGCCGGCAGCCGCGAGCATAGTGCGCGATGCCGCGCGCGGCGTTCTTGGAGGAGGCGCGCACGGCGGTGGCGCTCCTGGAGGAGGCACACACGGCGACGGTGGCGAACGGGTCGATGGAGAGCGCGGCCTTCACAGGCAGCGTGGCTCTCTCCCCGGATCGGTACCGTGGTTACCACGGGCTCCAGGCTGTCGTCAGGGACGTCGGCCCCGGTGGTGGGTGGCCTACCCTCACTAAGACCAACTACGTCGAGTGGGCTGCGGTGATGAATGTAAAGCTCCAGGTGCGGCACATGTGGGAGGCAGTCTGGTACGGCGACGTCGACTACGACCTAGATCGATGGGCGCTGGATGCCCTCATCGCTGCAGTCCCGCCCGAGATGCAGTTCTCGCTTACCAACAAGCGGACTGCCAAGGAGGCTTGGGACGCCATCGCTGCGGCACGCATCGGTAGCGACCGCGCCCGCAAGTCCACACTGCAGGCACTTCGCAAGGAGTGGGAGAACCTGGCCTTCAAGCCGTGTGGAGGACGTTGATGACTTTGCTCTCCGTCTCAACACTCACTACGAGAAGATGGTGTAGTTCGGCGATGACACCTACGGCGAGGAGAGAGCTGTCGAAAAGCTCTTCCGCTGCGTCCCCGAGAAGTACAAGCAGATGGCTCGCTCGATCGAGTCTCTGCTAGATCTCTCCACGATGTCGATCGAGGAGGCGATAGGTCGCCTCAAAGGTCGCCGGCAATGATGAGCCACGATCTCTCTCGGGGCCCATCACCACCGGGCGGAAGCTCCTTCTCACTCGGGAGCAGTGGCTTGCCAGCCAAGGTGACCGGAAGAAGGGGGAGCCTTCTTCCGCGATAGGCGGCCGTAAGCGTGGCAAGCCGCGCAAGGCGCGCAGAGACGCCCAGGCCGGGGCGCGAGGACGTGCCGAGGGTGATGCCCGCGGAGGCGCCCAGGCCCACGTCGCACAGGCGGAGGAGGAGGAGCCGGCTCTGTTCATGGCACATGCAACCATCGAGCTACCTCCGGTAACACCGGCCGCAAAGACAGTGTGGCCTCCTCCACCTTGACGAGCCAAAAGCACACGCCCTCCTCGGCGGCTCCAAAGAACGACAAAGCCCGACGGGTGGTGCCTCGACACCGCGCCACCCATCACATGACCGGTCGACGGGAGTTCTTCACCGAGCTTGACTCTAGCGTCCGAGGCTCCGTCAAGTTTGGGGATGCCTCCGGCGTGGAGATCAAGGGCGTCGGCTCCGTCATCTTCACCGCCGTGTCTGGTGAGCACAGGCTGCTCACCGGAGTCTACTACATCCCCGCGTTGAGAAACTCCATCATCAGCTTGGGACAACTGGATGAGAACGGTTCGCGCGTGGTGGTTGAGGATGGAGTCATAAGGATTTTGGATCGCCGTCGTTGCCTTCTTGCCAAGGTATCAAGAAGCGCAAATCGACTCTACGGGTCCTTAACGTGCAGGTGGCACAACCCCTCTGTCTCGCTGCTCGTCGGGACGACGAGGCGTGGCAGTGGCACGAGCGTGTTTCGGACACCTTCACTTCGAGGCCCTGAAGCGGCTCAGTGCCACGGTGATGGTGCGAGGCCTGCCGTGCCTCGACCATGTGGAGCGGCTCTGCGGCGTCTGCGTGTTGATGAAGCGGGTGACTCCCCCTTCCCAATGGGCGAGCTTTGAGCCAAGGAGAGGCTCGAGCTTGTGCACGGGGACTTGTGTGGCGGTGACACCGCCACACCGGAGGACGACGCTATTGCTGCTTGCCGTCGACGACCTCTCCCACTACATGTGGGTGATGGTCCTCGGCAAAGAAAGGGGAGAGGCTGCGGACGCCATTAGGCGCTTCGCAGTTATTGCGGGAGGCGAGTGCGGCCGCAAGCTGCGCGTGCTGCGCACCGACAACGGCGGCGAATTCACGGCGGCTGAATTCGCGCTGCGCTGCTACTGATGAGGGCATTCAGCGCCACTACTCCGCGCCGTACAGCCCACAGCAGAACGGCGTCGTCGAGCAGCGCAACCAGACGGTTGTGGGGATGGCTCGGGCCCTTCTCAAGCAGAGGGGGATGCCGGCTGTCTTCTGGGGAGAGGCGGTGGTGTCGGCCGTCTACATCCTTAACGCTCACCTACCAAGGCGCTCGACGGCAGGACGCCGTACGAGGCTTGGCATGGGCGCGCCAGCCGGCGGTCTCCCACTTGCGGGTCTTTGGCTGCCTCGCATTCGCCAAGGAGTTTGGCCACATCGGCAAGCTCGACGCGACACGAGCACTGCGAGAGTGTTCGCCGGCTACGCGGAGGGCTCTCGAGGCCTACCACATCCTCGACCAAGACACGGCGTGTGCGCGCGCGGCGCGCGCGACGTTGTGTTCGACGAAGCGAGCGAAGAAGCGTGGGACAAGGCGGTGGATGACGGCTCGGCTCCGACGTCGACGACTTCACCGTCGAGTACGTCCCACTTCGAGGAGCTGGGGAGTAGGCGGCTCTTCTTCGGCGAAGCGCGTCTACCCAGTCCCGAGCCTCCACCGACCCGGCGCTGCTACTCCGACAAAGACCACGCTCTCCGGCCAAGACCTCGGCTGCGATGAGTCCTTCACGGCTCCACCACGGCCGCAAACGCCCACGCACTCCGGCACCGACAGACACCACCTCTCCGGCACGCGTCTACTCCAACACCACTCGTGTCGAGCACGGCTGGTTGAGCTCGCTACTCGCTCTCTCTCACGACGAGGAGCGCGATCGACGCTTGCACTACCGGCGGCGAGCCGTTGTGGTACCGTGACGATGGAGAACCTTCTCGGCGACCAGCCCGGTGCCGGGACCGGTGCCTCATGACCGAGAGCGCAGCTTGCACCTTGCGTGTGACGACGGGCGAGCCTCGGTCGTTTGCAGAGGTTTAGAGACACGCGCATGCATGGCGGCGCGCGATGCGATTGGAGATGGATGCGGTCGAGAAGAACCGCACTGGGAGCTTGCTTGACCTTCCTCGTGGTCACCGCACGATCACCCTTAAGTGGGTGTACAAAGTCAAGAGGGGATGAAGTCGGCGCCATCGTCAAGCACAAGGCTCGCTTGGTGGCACGAGGTTTCGTGCGGCGGGGAGGGTCGACTTCGACGACGCCTTTGCTCCCGTGGCACGGATGGAGTCCGTGCGACTCCTCCTTGCGCTAGCTGCCCAGGAGGGCTGGCGTGTTCATCATATGGACGTAAGTCGGCGTTCCTTAACGGCGACTTGAAGGAGGAGGTCTACGTGCACTAGCCGCCAGGATTTGCGATCCCCGGCAAGGAGGGCAGGTGTTCTCGCTTGCGCAAGGCCCTCTATGGCTTGCGACAGACACCGAGGGCGTGGAATGCCAAGTTGGATTCCACGCTAAAGGGGATGGGCTTCGAGCAAAGCCCGCACGAGGCGGCCATCTACCGACGGGGCAGTGGAGGAAATGCTCTGCTGGTGGGTGTCTATGTCGACGACTTGGTAATCATCGGCACCAAGGATGCGGAGGTGGCGACATTCAAGGAAGAGATGAAGGCCACCTTTCAGATGAGTGACCTAGGGCCTCTCTCCTTCTACCTGGGAATCGAGGTGCACCAGGATGACTCCGGGATCATGCTTCGACAGACCGCCTATGCCAAGCGCGTCGTTGAGCTCGCTGGGCTCACCGACTGCAACCCAGCTCTCACTCCGATGGAGGAGAGGCTGAAGCTGAGCCGCGACAGCACGACGAAGGAGGTGGACGCTACGCAGTACCGGCGTCTTGTGGGGAGCCTTCGCTACCTCGCCCACACACGGCCGGACTTGGCATTCTCCGTCGGCTCGTTAGTCGGTTCATGCAAATGACCGACGACGGAGCACCAGCAGGTGTGAAGAGGATCATCCGCTACGTTATGGGACTCTCGACCACGGCCTCTACTACCCTAGGTGCCCTGGGCGGCACACTTCGTCGAATGCAGGCGACAATGACCACGCCCGGCGACATCGACACCAAAGAAGAGCACGAAGCGGGATCCTCTTCTTCCTCGACAAGTGCCTCGTTAGGCGGGCAATCGGTCAAGCAAACAGTGGTGGCCTTGTCCACCGCGAGGCCGAGTACATAGCGGCCTCCACCGCTTCGACTCAGTGCTCGACTTCGCTCGATCGCTTGGTGATCTCCTCGGCGAGACACTAGAGCAATGGAGCTCGGGGTGGACAACAAGTCCGCTCCCCCAACAAAGAACCCCGTTTTTCATGAACGCAGCAAGCACATCCGGGTGAGGTACCACTTCATCCGAGGCTGTTTGGAGGAAAGGAGCATCAAGACGAGCTACATCAACACCAAGGACCAGCTTGCGGACCTGCTCACCAAGCCCCTTGGGAGGCTCAAGTTCCTTGAGCTCTGCTCCAGGACCGGGATGGTTCAACTTTCCCACAAGACGACGCACAAGACTTAGGGGGAGAATGATGGGATAAGTCTCATGTGCTGGTCTTTGTGGGGCTGTGCTGGTCACATGGTCTTTGTGGCTGCATGGTCTGTTTTTAGGACAGCATCTTAGCATCTAGGACAGCATCTTAGAGGACAGCATCTTAGCATCTAGGACAGCATCTTAGAGGACAGCATCTTAGCATCTAGGACAGCATCTTAGACTAGCATCTTGGCATATGCTTGGTTGGCTAGCAGCCTATAAATATGTATCCCTAACCCCTCAGGTTGGCATGGCATTGTGTGAGAAATAAACCAGAAAATTGTCCCAACTCCTAGTGTCATCCTCTCTCGATGAGAGTAAGAATTCTGCTATTACCAAGAGTAAGAATTCAGCGACTAACAGAGAAGCCGTAGCGCTATACTGGACGAAGAGTCCCGGTTTGGGACCGAGTGACCATCCGGGAGACCGCTGCAGCAGGCTGCTCCACCGCGGCAGCGGGCTGCACGCTGGCAGCAGGCTGCACCGATGCTGCAGCAGGCTGCTCGGGCAGCTGTGGGGCAGCCGGTCGGCGTCGCAGGGGCCCGGGGACGCCAACTGTACGTCAGGTGGAAGTCCCGGGCTGGTGGAGTAAGGGCGGCCGCTGGTGGAGGTGGTGCAGCTGCTGGTGGAATAGGGGCAGCAGCCACCACAGGCGGAACAGGGGCGGCTGCCACCACAGGCCCGCGAAGAAGGATCGCGGAGTCGTCCTGCAGCTCCTCGAGGACCGCCTATGTACAATGCGGTTGCTCAACGTCGGCATGCGACGGAGCTGCCGCAGGAAGGCGTGTCAGCACAGTACCTGCAAGTAAGAAGTCCAGATCGCTCGGCGAGGACCCGGAAGTGTGAATCCCGAAAGGAAAACAGGTCTCGTCAAAGACAACGTGGCACGAGATGATGATGCGCCGGGTTGAGAGATCGAGACAGCGGTACCCCTTGTGTGAGGAGGGGTAACCAAGAAAAACACAAGCTGTCGAACGAGGGGCGAGCTTGTGGCGAGCCGTGGCGGTCAAGTTGGGATAGCAGAGACACCCGAAAACACGAAGGTGGGAGTATTCGGGTGGCTTGTTGTATAGTAGAGCATATGGGATGGCATTGCGAATGGCGGAGGAGGGGCGCCGGTTCAGCAGGTATGTCGCTGTATGTAACTATGGCGGAGAGACAGAGAGATAAGGAAAACACCTCACACCAACTAGGGGGTGACCTTTCATATATATAGCCCAATGGGCTGGGGGTACAACATGTCCAAATACAACGTATACAGGACTAGACTATACATGTCTAATAGTACGCATCACTGCTATCACCATGGCCACTTGGCACTTTTTTATGACACTGTTTATCTAATTTGCATTGCAAGGGAAACCATGGAAAATAAAGCAAACTCGAATTGTTGAGTTCATACAAAATTGAAGCTCCTCAACCATCCACGTGCATGGTCAAAACAGTTTGTACTCAGTGGGCAATATGTACCCTGCTACACCGTTTTAACGACAAATGAGTCTAAAATTGTTTTGACTAATATTTCAGAGTTTCTGGTTTTCTATTTTTTGAATAAGGTACTTTGCATATTTTTGCAATTTGATATATCTTAGTCTTTCCCATTGTTTTCTTTTCTCGAACAAACAAGAGAGCTGTGTATCATTATATTAAGAAGAAAAAAGGGGAAGAGCCCTTACAAACACACACACACACCAACACCATAAAACCATGCTACTAACAATCCGACTCACCTGTGACAAAGGATGAACGACCCAACCAAAGCAAACACACTACACCGGCAGTCTTCCCCATTGTTGAAAATAGGGAGGAAAAATGTTGCAAGTGTTATTTTGTGAAGAACAAGAGGCAAACCTATATTAGTTGATTAGGTCAATATGCAGTCAAGTGGTCTTGCTGCCATGGTATTTTTTTCTCGGACATTGACAGTCTCTTAGGTTACAAAGCTCTTCCTTAGCTCTGTTGTGCTTCTTAAATGATATAATATGGGCAGTTCCAAACTTTATATCCTTAGAGGAAGATTATATTCTTTATATTTGAATCTGTGATGTGACCTATATGGCTATATTAACAGCATAAATAATCCTCCAAGTAGGTTATGAGCTTTGCAGAAAACTGTGGCTAATAGAGTGACTTTTGTGATTCACCTTTGTTTATGCTATTCACATTCTTAGAGGCAAATTGAATTTCAAAAGTTGTGTGGTTATGTTGGATCATATTATCTCTCTCATATCAGTTCCATATTTATGCAGGTATCAGAATTTTTGAAGATATTACAAATCCAAAGGTGAGAGAGCTATTTTCTTTATTAAGTTCAAACATATGAAATGCTACTGTGGCATTGAAGTTCCCAATGAACTTTGGGGCTGTTCGCTGGTCTGGTCTGAACCAGCCAGCCAGCTGATCCCCCTCTCATTTCACTGTTCACCAAACCAGCCAACAGTGTTTTTCTCTCACAACAATTCAGCCGGAACAGTGTTTTCAGTCAAGTTTCAGACCAGCGAACAGGGCCTTGTCTCTTTGTGGAACCAACATACATGACTCTCGAATGAGCAATATGCAATGACAATTAAAGAGGCCTTTGCCATAATATTTGCTGTCTAAGTTAATATAGGCACACTGCAAGTACTAATTCCATAACGGTTGTGATGCATATGCAGTGAGATCTGTGGGCCACATTCTGTATGTAACTATGTATACATATGTGCATATACTTCAGCACCACAACTCCCATTTCCATATCAGTATTTCACTTTTTCGAACTTTCTTGAACTGAATTACTAATCCAACTTCTTTTTTTCTCGAAAACGCAGGAGAACTGCGCTTCATTGTATTAAGAAGATAATAAGAAGGGGGGGGGGGGTAAGAACCCATACAACACAAAACACATTGCAGCAGCAGCTGCTGCTACTAGGAAGCTAACGCGCCTTAGACATAGAGGACGCTAACCACCCGGAGCGAGGGCATCCAAGAGGGATAATCCTCGAGCCCCCGCCAAAGACCACGACCTTCTGTCATCTTCCGCTACAGCAAGAGCGCCTGCAACACTTGGGGCTGCACCATTAAAAACACAACTGTCGCGGTGTCTCCATAAAGTCCAAGCTCCCAGGATCACGAGAGAGTTGATTCCTTTCCTTGCCATGTCACTAGCAAAGACTGTTTACTCTCTCCCACCACGAGTGAGGATATTTACGTGGATTGTGGGGAAAGGGCTTGGAGTCCCATCCGAGAAAAGAAGCGGAACCAGAATTCTCTTGCAAAGACACACTCGAACTAAGAGGTGATCAATGGTTTCGCAACTTTGATCACACAAAGGGCGGTGCTTTCGGGATGAGGTAGTCCATGGCGTGCAAAGCGATCCGCTGTCCAACAACGGTTGTGAGCCACCAACCAAACAAAGAAGCGGCATTTGGGCGGCGCCCAGTCTTCCAAATTCTTTCACAGGGCTCAAAAGATATATAGACCTCACAAAAATCCCTTGTATGCGCCTTGGCGAATACTTTCCATCCGAGGAAAACCGCCAAATATGCCTATCTTCAACACCCGGTTGCAAAGAGAAATCGACAGGGGTCCCCAAGGAGGAGGAAGTCAACCATTACACCGACCGTGCGAGCCCCTTTTATATCAGAAATCCAAGTCTGGTTGGTAAGGGCATCCTGGACAGTTCATTGTTTGGTCCTCCTTTTAGGGATAGCGGTGAAAAGACAAGGTGCAAGATCTGCGATACATTGGCCATGGAGCCAACGGTCTGTCCAGAAAAGGGTGTTCGCTCCATTCCCAACTTCTTTTCCTAGATAAAGCACAGAACAGTAGTACAGAATTGTAACAATATGTCTTGGCTTCACTGAGTGAAATGCCCAGATCATCCGTCTTCATGCAATGATTTATAAGCCTTCCCTAACAGCCACGAAAACAATTTCCTGTTCGCTTATGCTGAAATTTGGCTTATGCTGAAATGTTGTGAGAGGAAAACACTGTTCCATGGCTGAAAAGTAGCTTGTCCCACTCTTTTTTGCTAATTGCCATCCAATCTTACATGTCAACATGTTCTTTCTAGGGAAAATGTGTAATGTTGTTCTCTTTTTTCGCAGGGTGGAAAGGGGATACTTCTAAAATCTGTTGGGGTGGTCGGTGCAAACCCTGATACTGTGTTTGAAGTGGTTCTCAGTCTTGATAAGCATAAGCGATACGAGTAAGCTAACAGTTGATTTGCAAATATGAACATAGACGTGCACCTCAAAATGGAATTTATGTTAATTTTTTTCTCCTTGTGGATGAAACAAAGAAACAAACTATCACTATGAGACATTGACAACTAGCTTTACTAAAATTTTCTCAATGCAGGTGGGATATGTTGACAGCTGATTTGGAGTTAGTGGAAACAATTGATGGATACTGCGATGTGGTTTATGGAACCTATGAACCCAAATATTTAAATTGGTACTTTCCTCTCATTACCTTTACATGTATGATTCTGATGCAAGTGTAAACCCTTACCTATTTGTAAGTATTTTCTTTTTACCAATTACACATAAGTTTAAAACATACATTAATATCTTCTGAGCACGAGATAGCCATATTTTGGGATTTTGGACAATTCTGTTAGAATAGGCGCCTATAGGGCCGGCCTCATGGGCCTTGGCACCCACGCCTGGTGGTTGGGCTGCCTCTAGGGAATTATGGTAGATGATCAGGCCTTGGCACCCACGCCTGGTGGCTGGGCTGCCTCTAGGGAATTATGGTAGATGATCACAGATTAGGCAAGGATCTTCGTTGATTGGGTGTGTTCTATAAACCCTACATGATCCTTGCCTATATATTGTACTTCCCTATACTCTTATGAATCAATCTACTGTTTCCTGAGCCATATTCACTTTCAAATTCTTTAGCAATGCATTTTTTTGTGTGTTTTCCTCGATCACAATTCATCTTTGTGAATAGGCATGTTTCTTTTAGTTGAACATGTAAGTTTCAATTTTGAAGCCATGGTTTATTTAATTGTTCATATTCAAATATTTTGTAAAAAAAAGTAACACTTGCAGAGGTTTTCTCAGGTGGAAATCCAAGAAGGATTTTGTTTTCTCCCGGCAATGGTTTCGCGGACAAGATGGAGCATATAGTAAGTAACTTAATCTATTGTACCAGTACTGTGGTAACAATATCCTGAATACGAATAATCTTCTTCAGTAACCTCAAGATGATGCATATCCTAAAACATTTTATTAAATTATCTACATTGAAACATGGGAATATGAGTTCAACCTTTTATATTAAATTGTAGTGCTGTCTTAAAAGTTAGCTGGCAGTTTTCTAGATGATATCAGTTGATGTTAAAGTTTCCATGCTTTCTGAAAAATGTATGGTATTTTTTACATGAGAAGATAACAATATATCTTTAAGTTTACAAATTTTCTTCCAATGTTTTTGAGGAATACATGATAAAACATTTTATACGAGATAATAAGTGAAAATCACCCTACCTAGATGATGCGCAGCTCTCCTGCGTTTTTCGAGAAAAAAAAAAAATCACCCTACCTAGATGTACTTGTTTCCAATCCTTTTTGATTTTAACTCACTGAGTCTTGCTGTCTTGGTATGTAACTAATAATTACTGTGAGCTACAAAAAAGATGTACTGTTGCAAGTAAAATGCGTATGTACATAAGAATTACTGTGAACTACAAAAAAGATGTGTTGTAAGTAAGATGTTTATGTACATATCCTGTTGTGAGTTGTGACAATGCCCAGTGGACCACCTGCCAAGGAAATCTGCACCACAACAACAATTGATATCCGCCAGACATCAATTTATGTGCTTTACAAGTTCAGATTTTAGTTAATCATGCATGATTTTTTCTCTTATGCAGCCATTTTGCAGACTCCTGCTGGTCACAAGAAAAGACCTCCAAAGCATGGATACGAGCGTACGAAGATCAACCGTAAGATGATCTTTATTGTTCTGTTTTGTTTTGTTTCTTTCTTAGTGTTATACCATGAACTATTCATTATGGTCGAACCTTTTAGCTTCTCAGCTTGCTTTGCACTGACTTTTCGTGAAACAAGCATGTTCAGAAAAGTTTGAACACCAAAAGTTCTTAACTAAGCTACTTTTTGTTTAATATATTTAAGTTTAATGGCAAACATTGCACATCGTTGTTATTTTGATATACTTGCAATTATATATATATATATATATATATATTAGAGTTTTAGGGCATTGCCCCAGTCTTAGCATTAAGCAAAGACAACAGCATTCAGTTACAGCATTAAGGTTGATCTCACCCGTCCATCGCACCCAGATAGAAACGACATATACTTGCAATTATTACGTTAACTATCTGTCGCTTCGTAGTTTTCATGAAACTTAAATTCTAGAAGACTTTTGTAATTGTTAGTCCACCAACACACCAACTAGACAAATTATCTGACAAATATTTTAACTCTTTTATTCAACTTCATGTCTTCATGTGTCACACCCAGTTTTAAGAACAAAACCAGGCTCACCATGTGTGTACCCAGAAAGTCCACACATAAGACAACAGAATAGAGGATATCAGAAACAATGTTATATAACGGAAATATACTTATAATTAACACTTACATCAGAGTATAGCGAAACGGTTACTATTCTTTTCTCCAGGCTCCAACAGCACAGGGACGGTTGACTGGGGGTACATACGCCTAGCACTTCTCAGAAAACTCACTAGCTCCACCATCTAGTACCCATCCGGGATTTTTGTCCAAGTAATTGAAAACCACCGCTTAACAAGCATAATAATAAGGGGATGTAGGCTCAAAAGGTTTGACACGGTTGAACTGCGGTAAGCAATTTTAGTAGATCAAGTTTTATCATCAAAACCTGAGTTGCTAAATTATGCTTAAGCTCCAGTTTCCACATGAACATAGACAATGGCAATATGACAATAATGATTAAACATGAGCACCAACAACATAGTACAATAAGAACTCATAATTTTGTGAGTTTTCCAAGCCACTCGTGACCGTGAGGTTATAACAGTTTTACACTCTGCAGAGGTTGTACACTTTCACCATGAGCCGTGATTTACTCTTTCATCCGAGGTGATCAGTCCCTTGACCCACTACCAAGGAAGGCCGGCAGGGTTCACTGTGAAGTCTTTCAAAAGTTCGTCTAACAAGTTAGGGCCGCTAGGATTTCTCGGCAGGCAGATGTAGGAACCCTCCTTTCGAATGGCACAATTCCTTCATGGCTATACACATAGGAACATAGGTTGTTCTATACCCATCGTGTCAAGCCCCTTTTGCACCTTTCGGTAACCACTAACAAGCTAGAAAATGTCCTCATACTTGACTAAAGCTAGAGCCATGTAGCACTCATGGTTGTACTGTAAGTCCCGGATTTTCCTGACAGATAAGTCCTTAAGATTCCATGTTGCTAAAAAGCACATTTTAAACATCATTGCATATGCCATTAGCCAATATTGTGGAGGTTTCATCATTAAGTAGAGCAACTAGCAAGAACTACCCAAATGCATAAACCCAGGTAACAAGGAACAAGGTAACAAAAGTATACTAGGTAAGGTCCTTAATGTTTTATCATATTAGACACATGCACATGAAAAGATGATTATAATGTTATTAGGTAACAAGGAGTCTCATATTATACTTGCCTTACTCTTGCTTTACCCCCAAAGCAACTTGCTTAGAGAATCTTCAACATCATCTTCCGTTCTGTAGCTTCTGGCACTCAGTTTCTGGTCTCCAACGCTTACGTATGGTTCACTTTTACTCGTAGCAAACACTAAGCACAAAGAAACATACAAAGCAAAGACAACTAAGAACAATACACCAATCATAACCAAAAGCTCTAAAACAACATACTGAAAGAGAGATCGTCGCTACGGTCACGGGAACGCAAGAAACACTGATAATGGAACTATCGTCCAAAAAGAAACGACTATCGGGATTTTATATTATAAAAGAAACTACTATAAGCTTGATTTATGTTAGTTAAGAAAAACTATATGAGTAATATTAATTCAGATTAATCACAACATATTTAATTTCAAAAGTCAGAGTTAAAGCTAATCATACTTTATTTATAAATATTTCGATATCATTTATGCTAATTCAACTTTAACTTGTAAATACAAAGAGCATCTAACCAAATTTAACATGCGCGTTTAGACCAGACAAATTATTAGAAACATGATTATGTTTGCAATTAATCATGTTAAAATCTTATTTGTAAAAGTGCATTGTATATAATCTATGTTGCTTTTAATTATTTATAAACGTGTCTGCATAGATATTAATCAAATTAAGACTAACATGTAGCTCGCGTCGACACGAATCTAACGCAACTAGAACGAAGCAAAACAGAATTAAAACGATTAAACTAGGCCTAATCTTGTTCGGCGGCAAAACTGTAATTACCTTCATCTTGTACCTTGGCTTCTTCCTCACGTGAACGAGGGCCATGGCTGACTGCTGCTGCTATACAGCACACGGGAGAGGAGGGTCTCGGTCGAAGGGAACCGAGGGCGGCCAGGCTTGGCCGGCCGGCAACGCGTGGCGCGCTGGCCCGTGCTCGCGGCCGCGGCACGCAAGGCCATGGCCGGGCGGCCACAGGAGCGGCGGCAGCGCTCCTGCTCCACGCAGGGGCGCACAAAGGGCAATGGGGCCGTGGGCTCGAGGCAGCAGCGTAGAGCGGGTCTGGGGCTGGAGCACGCCCGGTCCTGAGGAGACGGACGGAGTTCGTCGGAAAACGAAGAACTTCAACGATGTTCATGGCCGAGCTCGTCGGGAAAGTTGACCGGAAAAAGGAAAATGAAGGGAAAACGGTCATACGGCGGCGGATTGATACAAACAAAGGCACTACGGCGTAGAGAACGATGGCAGCTACCTATTATGGTGGTGGTTGTCGCTAGAACCCAACGGTGTGGCCAGAAAAGCTCGTCGGAGAGTTCGCCGGAAACTTAACTCGTCCGAACTTCGGCGCTAGATGTAGCGCGTTCGGAGTGGCGGCTCGGAAAAAGGATTTTATATCTAGAATCAGCGCGTCAAGCACAACATCGACATATATATAGTGTTAGGGTTCGAGGTCGGGGAAAATCGAGAAATTTTATTATTTTCAAAATTAATTAATTTCGTGAATAAAATAATTCCAGAAAAGTCCAGAATTGATATTTAAGCCGCGAAAAATACTCCGAAAGCTCCGAAAATTGGGGAAAATTTCCCAGAGACGATTTGGAACATGAGGAACCCAAATAAAGTATTTGAAGCTCATGAAAAGATATCTTAGAGAATCTATAAGTAGGATTAAGCTCGCAAAAAAAAGTGGGAAAGAATTCCAGAAAAAATTCACAGAAAGTTTGTAGAGATAAGTTGATGTATGATGAACTCAAATGGGTGATTTAGAGTGGAAGAAAAAGGTTCTGAGAAACCACGACGGCTTAAACTGAGAAACGAGGAATTTGATTATATAAAAAAAAAGACAAGAGACGAGCCGGAGAACGATAAACGACTTACTAAGCGTGTTTTGAAAAGTTTACACACACAGCACACAAAGTCACACAACAAGCTAACATCACATCACGAAAAACCTGTCAAATTAATATGAAAGTTTGAAACCATAGTTTTCTATATTTAAACTAGCAGAAATTTAATCAATCTTGTAAAATTTTATACAAATATTGAAATCATTTATTTTATTTAGTGTTTTCCACGCACAACCCAAAATTGGAAATTTTGGGGTGTGACATCATGATTGTAAGTGAATGTGCATTTACTTTAGATCTGGAAAGTTACAGCATGACCAACCATTCCTTATTGTAGAACTTGTGAGTTTTAGGACTTGAACTCGACAAGATGAGTTTACAGCTTGGACTTGATCAGAACCCAGCTGAGGAAAAGGAATTCCAGTTTTGGCACTTGAACCTTTGTCGGATTGCCACCCTAAACTCGGTATTTATATCTCTTCTGTGACCGCTAAAAGGCAGTGTCCTCTTTGCGATCATGCAGGAGAGTCCATCCAGCATTTGTTGATCTCTTGTGGCTTCGCTAGACAGGTCTGGTTTATCATTCTTCAGAGATTGGGGTTGAGCTCCATCAGTCCAGTTTTTTTTTTTCTCGAACTACGCAGGAGAGCTGCGAGTCATTTCATTAAGATAGAAAAGAAAGTACATAGAGAGGGGGAGAGCCCCCAGACTAAGTACCAAACACACCCCCACACTTACAAAACACTACACACCCAAAACAAGGAAAGACCTGACCATAGAGCACCAAACCTAAGATGGTGCTACAAGCGACCTGGCAAGCAGCTCTTTGAGCTTAGAAGCTCCAGCCAAGCACCACAGGGTGCTTTCATTTGTTATGGCCTGCAGGAGCACCTGGGAGTTAGGGAGAACACCTTCAAACACGCAAGAATTTCTATGTTTCCAAATCTCCCAAGCCACCAAAATGATGAGCGAATTTAAACCCTTTCGCCACTGATTTGGAGCAGCTCTAATGACTTTGCCCCACCAAGCTGAGAAGGTAGAGGAGTTTACCGGCACATCAACTACCAGATTGAGATGTGAGAAGACCAAAATCCAAATTTGTCTAGTAAAAACACAAGACAACAGCAGGTGGGGGGCTGTTTCCTGCGCTTGGTCACAGAACAGACATGCCGGGGGGGTGCTGCAGGCCCCTCCTGGCCAGCCGGTCAGCAGTCCATAACCGCTGTTTAATAGCCAGCCAGACAAAGAACTTGCAGTGTAAGGGAGCCCAACTTTTCCAGATTCTTTTCCATGGGATAAACTTTATTGAGCCAACGAAAAGGGCTTCATATGCTGACTTGCTGGTGTAGATTCCAGATTGGGTCAGCTTCCAGCGGTGTTGATCCGGGTATCCTGATTTAGATGGACACCATCTAACTGATCCCAAAGTAACAGGTACTCCATCAGGACCTCCACTGAGA